ACAACGATATGCCAGCATGTCTCGTGACAAATGTGCAATTAGTTCATAAATAAGACACTTGGTTGAAAAATGTCAACCGTGTTTTGTAAAATACATAAAATCAAAACTATAACTGCACGTAGATTTGTTTGGTAGTGAGACATAACCTCACGTACCAGATGGTCACGAGGCACGGATTATTTCCCAGGTTCGGTCCTCATTATGCAACAAACACCATACAGTCCATACTCCTCATTATGCAACAAACACCATATAGTGCCTTCGGCAAGTTGGATGTCATCTCGTCAAGCCCAATACATGGCATTTGTGGCACGGAAATACAATGAAATCACTTCCCCTCAGACAAGCCCCCATCGGTATCCGCAATTGCCGGACATTGTTCAGGTCTCTAGAAGAGCTCAGGATGTTTTTTATTTTTTGTACCCATAAGCAGTTAACTGTTCAACAAGCATATAACAACAAACAGAATCACCACCATCCAAAGTCATATTATAACTCCACGAATATACGAGTAGATGGATGAATGGTTGTCCTTCAAGGCATATACGAGTAGATGGATGCCAAATTGCTAAAGGCATGCTGGCTAGGCTAGGAGCGTTCCATCCATCACAGTAAGAGCTTCTCCCTGGATCTGCACTCTCTGATTTGCGTCATCCAGTTGCAGGTATAGTGTTCCACCCCTTGGAGATGCCTGATGATACATATGAAGGAAAGCCAACATCATGGTTCAGCTGATCGAGTGCATGTTGCAGCACCATTTTTTAAATAAAATATTTTTTTAGTTTATATCAATTAAATTGCTGAAAACACAGCTAAGCACATACTTGAAATGCCGTCATTTTTTGCTTCCCCAGCTTTCTACCCCAATAGGGTGCCAAAACACAATGTGTACCGCCAGTAACAGGGTCCTGTCGAAATATAGTGATCAAAGGGTATGAGTTATGGAACAGGAAGATGTATTACATGGAGAATATCGAATGCCAATATACGCCCAATGGTAAATGTTGAATGAATGAGTTTTTTCTTATGTTGTACTAAATCAGCAACACTTATTTTGGGACGGAGGGAGTATATACTTAGTGTTCAACTACTCCTATGTAATACAAGACATTCCAATTCCTTGGTGAAATTATCTGTAACAACTGCAAGGTAAAAACTGCCTAGTTAACACTACTAATTACGAAATCGAGACAAGGAAGGCTCAGAACAAGCTGGAAGTAGACAACTCAATAGACTACATGACTATGGTAACCAGACTGAAAGATGTAAACATTACACATGAGCATAATTAGGTACCGCAACTTGGGAGAGGCAATCATGCACTCATTTTTAGTTAGCTAAGTACATATTGAAGTACAAAAAATGGTCGATGATGTGGTAAGTTAAATAAGTTTTGCCGTTTCTATATGCTTTGGACTAACAAAGGACATCACCTCATCTATCCCAAATTTTGGGCAGAAGAAACGTGTAAAGAAGTCATAACCAGATCCAGCCGGCGCCGGTCCTGTAAAAATAAGACCCCTGCAGGCCAAGTTTTTAATTTCATCGATGCTAGGAAGGATATTAACAACTTCTTTTCCTGAAGAAAGTTCCACCTGAAAATCATGCAAGATTTTTATTGACAATTAATGTTTCTGAAAGACCATACATTCGCACCAGCATGCTCCATTATAAAATGAGGAAGTTGATCCTCAAATGTAACTATGGAAACAAAAATATGGGGAGAGACAGTACAATGAGGTCGCCGTCGGTAGCCGATTTGTGAACGCTGACAATGGGTGCACCGTTTAGGGTCTCCAGAATCGACGGCGTTTCGTTGCATTCCAGAAAACCAATCATGGGGAAATCCAGCTCAATAAACAGCTTCCCCTGCTCCTCACCAGGGACGCCAGTGCTCCCTGGTGCGGGGACTTTCTTGGCAGTCAGGATCCCGGACCTGGTCATGAACTCCAGCTTGCCATGCTCCGGAAGAACAGTCGTGAAGAGGAAGTGCGCAGAGGCCAACGTCGCGTGGCCGCAGAGGTCAACCTGAAAACAATGAAATGATGAGTCAAGGTAGGTAACTGTGCAAATCAACATGTTCAGAAGTTCAGGTCGATACTGGTCGTAAGAGGGGGCTCTGGGATTTGTGGACGAGATGGATGGGGAGCCAGGATACCTCGGTGACGGGAGTGAACCATCGGAGGTGGAACCGCGGGGCTGCGCCGGCTCCCCCGGAGGAGTCCCGGGCGAGGAAGGCGGTCTCCGAGAGGTTGAACTCGGCGGCGACGGACTGCATCCACCGGTCGTCCACGGCCGCGGAGGCGCCCTCCTCTTCGAGGAGGCATACTGCGGCGGGGTTGCCCTTGAACGGCTCAGCCGCGAAGGCATCCACCTGCGACGAGACAGACGATGACGGCCGCGCCAGCGTCACTTCTCCTTCCGGACAGATTTGCGAGTGAAGAACAGGAGAGGGGAAGATAGTAGTACTGACCACGGCGTATCGGATGGCTTTTTTCCCCATTTCTCCGAACAAGGCGGCGGCGGCGGCGGCGGCAGGGTATCGGCCCCCATTACAAACCGAGAAATGAACTCCCACATTAAAAATGCAATTCTGAATCCCAGTCCAGATTTGGGAGCCCCGCTTCTTAGAAGTGAAGAATGAAGAAGTTGGCAAGTATTTTTTTTCTTAAGGAGTTGGGCCCAGAGACTGGTGTCATTTTGAGAGATTTCCAAATCTATTTGGTTAAGAGGGCTAGGTTGTTTTTTTTTGGTGTTGGAAATCCCAAGACCAGGGAGGGACGCATATATCCTCCCCGCGGATCATGTGTTATTTGTGTTTGATGGCTGTAACTGCAAATATCAACCAGAGGGAATGAATGGAAGATTTTCAAAAATTCTTTGGATAAAATGATCTAACCAAAGACTATCTGTTGGAACTGGTTTGATGTTTTTCCGTCATGCAAAGCACCATAAAGGGGTTGAACCAGTTAAAAAAAACTTCATTTATGCAAATCAACCCTATTAGCATCAACTTGCAAAAATAACGTAGGTTACATATGTTATGGATGCAACTCGATTGTATTGCAAGGCCCAAGAGGCGGCAAAGAGACAACGACCGCGTGAGTAGAGGATCAAGCACAAGTTGTGCATGCTAAAAGTAGACCTAGACTCTAATACCATGTTATGGATGCAACTTGATTGTATTGCAAAGTCCAAGGAGCATATATCTTACACAAGACTTGGGTACAAGGAAAGGAAACATGGTCTAATAGGATTCCTAAACCTTATACTCCTTAACAACATAGAGTAAACAAGACTGAACACAAGACTAGGCAAAACCTCCCATTTTATTTCCCTGCCTTTACAAAATAATAATAATAATACAACCCATATAATTCACCTGATGAAGCATGGCATAGACATGTTCTTATACAAGTTACAGTACTAGAAGTTCTCCTTGTGAAACTCAAACTTTGTGTTTGTCTTGTGGGTGAAATCTGCCGACAACTGCCGCAACTGTGGCACAAGAACAGGCTCACCACAATAGAAAACCCCTGAAACAAAATTAAAGGTTAGCAGATGATGATGGTAATTACCCACATTTGTAGTACCAGATCGATGTGAGAATGGAAGGAAGACAGACCGACGCGCTGGTTCTCATGGTTGACCGCAACACGCTTGAAGACGCTTCGCCAATTAGGCCTGGCAAAGTGAGTCTTGACGCTGGTTCCAGACAAGATGTCAACTCCCTTCTTTGCATGCTGGAGTTCTTGGAGCATGACAATGAGCGCGGAACGAGCATCGCCCTCTTGATACACACTCGAGCAATGGTTGTGGAGCTCGATCACTTGATCCTTGTCCTTCTCAGCCACCTCGTTCATCACCCCTCTGAACCATTCAAAGGAGCCCTCCTCCCTTGTGACCCAGTAGAAGTAGGCCCTCTTCGTCATAAATTGTCTCTTCTTTGCCTTACCAGTGGTGCTCCCCGGCTCTGCTCCACCAACCGATCCCCCAGGCTGGATGTGGTTAAGCACATCCTTCACAATGCTGATCAAAGGGGTGGCTCCAATGCCAAGCCCAATGAGGAGTAGCACATCGTATTCCCGGTAATCTTGTGCTGGAGCACCATATGGTCCATCAATCAAAAGTTTAGGGAATCTTGTACATGTCAAACAAAGTTTAGGGTCAGACAGGAGTTTACAATATATTGCGTCGTAATACATTTTTGAAAAAGCTGAAGAAGTTCCTTTTCACCTTGCGTTGCAGTCAGTGATTCCCCTGGAGAGGTCAGCTCTAAGGAGTCCACTTTCTCCTTCAGCTGGAGGCCGACACGCCTGGTTTATAGTTAAGGTTGTTATCGGTTACTTGGACAAACTTCCAATAGGATGTGATCACTGGATGAACCGAAAGCCAAGAGAAGCTGATTTACCTCAGAGAAGACTGTCCTAAGCCGAGAAGTCCAATCACCCCTTGTGCGGATGTGGACACTGAGGTAATTATCTCCTGGTGCCGATGTAATGGAAAACGGATGCCTGTGATGGAACAAATTTTCCGTACTATTAGTCATCTGCTGATTTCATAATAAAATTAACGCAACTGTTTCTCAAAGGTTGTAACGGTAGGCACCATTCATATGGAGATACAGCTCTGCAATTTATGAAGATGTACTGCCCACTCCGGTATCTAAAACCAGTTGGCTTGGACATATAAAGAGCCAACACATGCCCAGGATATACCGCAACCTGTTGAAGACACAAAAGTTGAAAGCTTATTTCTGTTCACAATACATCTCCCATATTAAATGGGTTGGTATTTATTAAGACCCACTACATTTACAAGAAAAGTAGTTGTCTATAGGATTGTTTAAGGTCAAAAAGACAAACAAGGAAAAACTATATGAAAGGGGTTGTTTAATAGTGGTACCTTCTGAATCTTAACTGCATCATGGCTCCTAAATAACCGAACAATGCGCTCGCATGAATATAAGAAGACAGGATAAGCGATGTACATCCATGTCTGATAACAATAAGAAACTATCAATAAGTATTAATATTGACCATTGCATTTTTTAGTGGCATTAGGGTATAGGCTTTTACCGATTTCTTGTACCACTCCTTCGTCAGATACAAACTTGTTCCATGGACGATGAGCAGCACATACACAATAGCAAATAGGTGGTGCGTAAACCAAAAGGCATTGAAACCAGTCATCTTCTTGAGTGGATTAGTGTCCTTCAGCTTGTTACGTCGGAACCATGGCTGAGCTAATACAAAAGCTATTGACATGAGCACTACCATGACAATACCTGTCCACCCTGCAGTTCCTTTTACAAACCACCAGTAGTTTGGTGGCCTTTTGTCCCCAAAGAAAGGCTTCATTGGTTCATATTTTGCATCACTTGCATGGAGCAAGAGAGGAAAATCACATGTCAGATGAGCACCTGCATGCAGAGCAACACCAACTGCAACACCTGCTGCTATTACCTGCACAATAAAATATCGTGCCGAGGATTATGTTGGTCACAATTTACTAGTGCTAAATTATCTATCAGACATCGTCAACAGGTAACTCTAATTGGCTCATTGATAAGATATTGTGTGCTCACATGCAATGCAAAGCTTCAGGATGCCAAAAATCCATTTGTGTTCCATAATGACTGAACGGTGGACAACATCCTAATCCAGTCAGGACTCCCAGAGTCCAAAGATAAGAGGATTTTGCAACCGTACTATGGCCAGGATTACTACCCTCTCTTTTTAGGTCATGGAGAAATATGTTTTTTTTTTCAGAAAAGGAGGAATCACCCCCGGCCTCTGCATCTGGGAGATGCATGCGGCCATATTATTTATTATTCACAAAGACCTTACAAAGAAATACAACAGTAAGCCCAAGGCCACCATCTCTACTCCTATCCTCTTGATGAAGGTGTGCCGAATGTCCGGGCCAAATACCAAACAGGCATCGCACAAAAGCCTAACATCTAACGCCGGATGCCCCATCCAAAGCCACATAGGCGGGATTGGGTAACACTCCGGTCCGGCGCACTCTCAGTGAGTACCACACGCACACGCTGCAAAGGGCCGTCACCTCCGTCTTCCCTCGATTCATCCTCAAAGCATGTACTGACGTATCGACCTTGTCAGGCCTCTCTGCCATCGACGCCACCACGACGCCAGACAACGTCAACCTTCTGCGCGTGTCCATCGCCACACATCTGACGCCAAGCCTCCACTGCTCCATGCCGCCGAGAACCGCCGCCATGAATATGTAGAAATAAACACCGCTCCACCGAAGAAGCCATCCACAGGTCCCTCGAGCCCGAGTGCAACTCCAAGAATGCCGCCCCCAAGGGGGTAACGACACATGAATGCCGCCGTCATCCGATCAGCTGATTTAGGGTTTCCCCTGGAGGTATTGGGTGGGGTTGGGAGCTTCACCTCGATGATGCCTTCATGAAGGAAACGATGATAAGGGCATCGTCATCACCGGCTCCGGCCAACGACCAAAGACCAACTTTTCACCCGGATCCATCCCAAGGAATCCACCCGACAACCTGTGCACTGTCTCGATCACCTTCAAAGCCCTAGATCTAGCCGCCTAGATCCGGCGACCAACCGCAACAGCAGTGCTACCGTAGGAGCCCTGGTGCACCGGCCACTGCCTGAATGCGCCACCACTGTAGCCTGGGAGGAGGGCTACCACCCCACCTCGCCAAACCGCGAGAGCCGCCGAGATGGATCCCGCACGCTCATCACCGTCTCTGATCTGAACCAATCCGCGGCAAAACCACAAGATCGGCGATGCAGATCCGCCTTGGATAGGGACAGCAGCACGCCATGCTGCCGCGGGAAGCCCGAGCTTCACCCGCCGCCACCTTCCAAGGCCGCCGCCCCAGGATCCAGTTGTTAGGAAATATGCAACTTGTATTTCCAGGAGGCCATAGGCCAGTATATATACATACATGTACAGGTGTGGAATATATGCAGGAAACCCCTTATACAATAGGGTAAATACGAAAGGTTACATGGCTATATATATAATACTCTAACACCCCCCTCAAACTCATGGTGGATTAACAACACTGAGTTTGGAGAGATAGAAGCCATGTTGTGCTCTAGTCTGGGCCTTCGTCAGAAAATCCGCCAACTGTAACTTGGAAGGCACATACTGAAGAGCAATAACCTGATCCTGCACACCGGCGCGCACATAGGAAACATCAACACCAATATGCTTGGTGAGCTCATGCTTCACAGGATAGCTACTAGCGCCTGTACTGTGTCAGATAAGAGCAAAGTAGGTGTAGTAATAGAAACACCAAAATCTTGAAGTAACTCAGCCTCTGCACTCGAACGGGAAACTGCAATCTGCTTCTTTGTCTTCCAGGCAATGAGAGAACCACCAAGAAAAACACAGTAAGCAGAAAGTGAACGGCGATCGGAGGGATCACTAGCCCACGTAGAATCCGAATAGGCCTAAAGCTGTAAAGAACTAGAGCAAGGAAAGAATAGACGGCGAGAGATC